AGAGAGCTCTGTCCTGATGAAAAAAAATAAGGAGTAAAGATAGATGACAATCATTTCAGGCGAATCTCGATGTGACACGGATGATAATTTCTATCATTATTTTCAGAATATCTGCATCTCAGCTACAATCGCTTCACCACGCTGCCTAACAGAATATTCTCCCCCTTCACGCGACTACGTAGGCTCTTTCTAGAATTCGGCTCGCTTACTACCATTGCACCCAACGCGCTGGAAGGTCTATCAACACTAGAGGTACACATTCATTTAACGGCCATGAGCTGCCATGAGAGTGTTAGTAACTTCACAGTGTGTTTATTACGCAGTGTTTCACCCCACGATCGCGTGATGCCATTTCTATCGTTTGTCCAACCGCAATCTCACACTCGCATTTTAAAACATTAGTGGCTACTGCACCATTGTCCTGTCCTAAGCCGATTTCATCCCTAAACTGTTTCAGTACTTGGACTTGTCGCATAACAAAATCGGGTTCATCGAACCGGGGCTCTTTGCCGAAATGGGACAACTCTACACGATGATGCTGGAATACAATAATCTGCACGCTCTCGAAGCGGGCACCTTCTCCGGATTGAGAAAAGTGTCCAATCTTGATCTAGAATACAATAGCATCGGCCGCATCGATGCAGGGGCCTTCGAAAACACAGACGGCATTACTTTCTTGAAACTATTTAAGAACAAGCTAACTTCTATTAAAGCCGGAGCATTCGCGGGATTAAACAAGCTAGAGGCAAGTTGCGATCTAATCCGGATTAAACAAATTTGCGAGTTTACCAATGGGTACTAGTACAATGAATCCTCACTGTGGATTTTAATAAGCTATTGCGAAATCAGTTAATTGTGAGGTTTTGTTACGCAGCATATGAATAACCTCGTCAGCGTGTGCTGTCTTCCGACAGCTCTGATATAGAAACGTTTAGTAGTTTCGACAAAAAAATAGTTATATAGGCTGCACTCTGTTACCGCAACGCTCCATAATGTTTACCTATTCCGTTCAATAATTATCTGGTATTTATTGCACAGATGCTTGACATTATCGCTAATTTCGACCTGGAGACGATCGAGGTAGGAGCCTTCCACGGACTGCCCCGATTAAGTATAGTGTACCTTTTCTACAACAAGCTCAGCCATCTGGAGCAGGACATATTTGATCTCTCGCTTTATCCGGAGAGCTGGAGCATATACACCGACATATCCGGTATACTTCTTAGACGTTCCCGAATGTTCCTGAATCGCCTAAATAATACGAGAATGTATGAAAAGCCTGGTGATATATATATATACATAACTTATTCATATACATACATATATGTATGACATTATAAATTAAGTACTACATACAACCAAGGTGCCGCCAGCATCTCACCCCCCCCCCCCCTCCCCCGCGCAGCAGACAGAAATACCAGCGTTTGTCGAAGAGTTCATAGCGAGAGCATTCCGGACGCCGCACGTGCAACAACGTGCTTCTACTTGCCACCGCGGTTCAGGAAAGCTTGAGAACTATTAGTATAGGCCTCATCTTTACGCATGTCTTTCGCGATCTCTCGCATTCTAGAAACCCGCTGAGCTGCAGCTGCCTCGGCTGCGCTACTGAGTAAGCCGTTCGACGTCCACGGACGTTGCCACGCGCCGCGCAGACGTCGAAGGAAGAGTTGCTTGAAAACATTGACCCTTCGACCTTCACTGTCCGGCGGGAAGACGTCAGATCGTACACTAAGCGACACATCTCATGATATTGTCGGCTACCAACGACGATTTACGACTACGGAGTTGCCCCTCTTACTGCCACAGCTTATATACGCACCGTTTAAGAATGAGCCGAAGTCCTGTTACATAACAACAATCACTTAATCACTTGCGGCTACCAACCGATACTTCTTTGCAGTCGACGGCGTATGCGAACCATTTAGTAGATTTAGTAGATTTAGTAGAACTAATGAGTAGATGCGAATGTTTAGAGATATGCGAGTATGCAATACTTGCTGTTTACGCAGACTTCTGCTTACAGTAGACAATTACTGCACGAAACATGTAATATTTTGATAGAATTTAATTTTGAAGTTCCAACAATAAAATTGTATTCCTGAGTTTGAAATTAATGTTTTTTTTTATATTATCCAGCAACACAGTAAATTCATAAGCACACATTGGTACCGTCTATTTTACCTTATAAAATCGTAGGACTAGAGTAACACAGCTTATACAATACACCTTACGCATACACAGGAAATATAATAATATCTACTGGAGCTGATTATTCTGCTCATACGAATTACAAAATTGTTTTTCTTCAGGCTTGTCTCTTCCTAATATTCACTAGAAGACACCCGCTTACATCGCACCAAAGGCTTACACAATAAGTTAATTGTAATGCGACATATATATGAAGAGCTGATTTCCAAAAGGTGTTAAGTCCACTTTTGTACTTTAGAAGATATCATCACATTTTCATTTTAGTAATGATCTCTTTGCCTGGAACAGTTTTTTCACTCTAATGTTTGAAGTGCATGGTACTAAGCATGAAAACACACCTGAATGAAATCTAGTGTACATAATTGATTTTTAATTAATTTTTGTTTTTTAATAAAATTACGATTTAGTGCCTTTTGGAAACAAAAATTAAAAACTCGTCAAAATAAAAATAAAACACTAATAACTAACACCAAACAGAAGTAATTTATAACACATAACAATGTTATTAAAGCTTACTCAATGTTTAATAAACATATTTTACAGTTTGAGTTGTTACAAAACCAAGAAAACTGGTCAATGGATATTACAGTGGCGAGTCAGTAATTAGGTAAAATGTTCACCATACATCCTCATTGTGCTCAACAATGATATAATCAATCTTCACCAGAGTCATTTCATTGGTCTTCCTGATCACTAGTTTTTATATTTTGATAAGTTTTTAATTTTTTTTCTTAAATTCGCTAAATCCAAATTTCATTAAAAAACTAAAATTAATTAAAAATCAATCATGTACATTAGATTTCATTCAGGTGTGTTTTATGCAAATGCTAAGTACCATTCACTTAAAATATTAGAGTGAAAAAACTGTGTTTCAGGCAAAGAGAACATTACTAAAATATCTTCTAATGGATTTAACACCTTTTGGGACCAAACTCAATGTTTGGAGGCTGTCCGTGAAGGGATATGCCAACGTTTGATGCAAATGGATATCACACATGATGTAGATACCCTGCTAACACAAAAACGTTCACATAACGTTATTTTAAGGTTATGTTTTGGCTCAATATTCATTTATAAATTTACAAGTCTTTGATGTTTTGATGTTGATCTTGAAAATAATATATATATATATTAATATATTTGTATATATTATATAATATATATAGTTTAATCATGTCGTTTATAATTGAAGTTATATTTTTTAAACTGGATTAAACGTATTTTACTTTTAGAAAATGTGGCTTGATTGCATACTCCGCGGTATGTGCAGCAGTTTCTAGTATGTCGTAAATATTAATCTTCCACTACGTGTAGATATGCTCAGCTCAGCGTAAACACTGATTTTGTTTAGTATGTTTGTTTATATATATATATATATAAATATAGATATATATACAATATAATAGACGCTAAATAGTAACGTAAAATACAAAACGTTATATTTAACGTAATTGTTCGGAGTTTTTTAACGTTATCATAACCACGCTTCAATAACGTATTATTTAAGTAAAAAAAAGAAAAAAACGTTAATAGTAACGTAAATACAACGTTAATATTAACGAGTAATTGTGATCGTTTTTTTATACCGTGTATCAGAAACCACGCACAATAACGTATACTTTCAAGTATTTTAGTACGTAGCAAAAACGTTATTTTTTAACGGTTATAAAACGTATAAAATCCGAACACAAATTTCGTAATTATAACGTTAGGTTGGTATAACGTTATCGCAAACNGTGTGTGTGTGTCGTGTGTGTGTGTGTGTGTGTGTGTGTGTGTGTGTGTGTGTGTGTGTGTGTGTGTGTGTGTGTTACCACATAAACGTTTTTAGTAATATTACCTACTTGATAACACCATCTGATTTACTGAATTTTTACATTTAAACGCTGCACTAGACAGATTATATTCACCTGGTTTAATGCCCATGCGAATTCTAAGTTACGTGTGTTACGTTGTGATGACGTGCAACGCAAAACAGAATCCACATTACTTAACGAGTTGTACGCTCGTTCATATTTGGTTTATTGTAACTTCAGATTGCTCGATTTCATGAATGCTGCATTGCATAAATCACATCTATACGGGTTTTCACCTGTGCGGGATAGGAGATGCAATTTCAAATGGCTTGATATCATGAAAGCTGCTTTACATACATCACATTTATATGGGTACTCTCCTGTATGAGTTTTCATGTACCTGCAGATTTCTATGATCTCTGTGAGTCTTGAGTTTAACGAAGCGCGATTAGTTTAATTAATTAACACATATACACGCGCGGTATCGCACATAGCCTAATATACCTATACGCGCGGCTATGGGCGGTAGGAAAGTGTACTAACTATCATATCTCGCGAACAAGTGGAGTTACATTTCTAGCTATGATCGACACATGTCATAGCTATAATTTGTGTGAAGACTGAGTTTATTGAAGCGCGATTAGCTTAATTAATTCGAAACTATGCACGCGCGGTATTGCGCATACTAACGCGTATTCGTATACGCACAGCTGTAAACGTCTATTTTATACGCGTTACATGAATTAGTCGAGTGGAGATAGACTGGTAGTTGTTTTAGCCATATAGTCTCTAGCTAGACATAACGTCGCGGATATTGGGCGGCAGCATTGATGTTACGGGGAGTTGGGTAAGCGGGTTCTAGGTTAGGCAGTTTCTAGGGTGATTGTGAAATGAGGGAAACGGTTGGAACTGGACAAGACGGGTGACATGTGCGCTCAAGATGTAGGGAGTTTTGAGCGAATATATAGGGAGAGATGTAATAGGAAGGGATGGGAGATTGGAGATTCTGGGTGCTGGTCGCGAGAGTACGCGCACGTGCGACCGCGCGTGTGCGCGGGTCTTTGTCTGTTTGTGCGATTGTCTGATGAGGTGGCTACACAGTGTAAGATATTAAAAGTTATACAGTTTACCACACAAGTTCTGGATTTGGATCTGTTTCTACATCATTTCTACATGAACGCTCATTCCAACGTTACACAGCTATGGGCGGTATAATTATGTGGCGGCCGCCAGATAATTAAGTGGCGGCCGCCAGATAAATTATGTGGCGGCCGCCAGATACTGTAATTAAAGATGTCTTCCCACGCACATTTTGCAACAAACCACTGCAAAAAACGTAGTTAAATAACTCACTACACTTTAACTGAACGTTAGCTTTGAAAATAAAACTGTAAATATATGTATCAAGTCTATATTTGCTCAACGAAAACACAACTCGAAAATCGCTTTTCGTCGCGGTTCTGTATAATGGCGGTTCTGTGTATAGGCTCATTTAGCTCTAATACTATAGCCCGCGTACAGTTGCCACAGGCCTGCGGCAACTGTACGCGGGCTATAGTACTAGAGCTAAGGCTCATTGATTGATGACAACGTAATACGTCACAACATCGCCACAGAGCGGCAAAAGTAAACGCTGTTTGAAACATTCGACCCGACACTTTCACGTTGTAATCTAAAAGCTTTGAATGAACGTATTCCCGAGCAGTTTTCTACCTATCACACATATAGGCAAGTACAAACGTGCAATGTTAAAATCATTCATTTTTGCCTGATTTTATGGCTTGAAATTTCGAGGGAAGGCACCCGAAAGAGACCAAGGTTCAGGGTGGCGGCCGATAGATAAATTAAGTGGCGGCCGCCAGATAAACGCTTACAAGAAAAATATATCCACCGTGGCACCAACGGGCGTCCGTACTATTCTACGTACGTGGAGAGAAGGTTAGCGAGAGGGCGTGTGTATATGGAAGGGGATTTGTGTCAAAATTCATTTGAAGATGATATGAGTGGTCGATTCATAATTTTATCACTTGATTCGACAATTCAAACATGCAATTCATTTGTTCATTTCATGATTCAATTGTCCATTTCATGATTTAATTTTTTATTTTATAGTTCAATTCACAATTTTAATCTTCAATTTATTATTTGATGGTTCGTATTATCAGAAGTAGATAATAGGTCTACTTACCCTATTATCTACTTCTGGTATTGTTCATTTCTTCATCATTCAATTTTTAACTTATTTTTTAAATGTTTATTAAGATCTTTGAAATTTGACACAAATACCCCACGCTGTATTTGTCTCAAAATTCAAAGATGATTTGAGGTTTAATTTCATCATTCAATTTTCATCACTTAATTACCAAATGTAGTCTGGATCACTTCTCTCACGATTGCGTATAAAAACTTGAAAAAATATTAAGACGGCGCCAGACTACGCTCGCGCTCTGCCTGTTTTTGCTGTCATTACAGTTATCGTCAGTCCACACAGTAGCTGTCTGCTAATAACTACTAAAACTAGGTGATCAATCACATGACTTGCACATTCCCGAGCTTATATGAATACAGGTACATGTTATTGTTTCCATGCGTATTTGTTGAAATCCGATGTTCATATTATGTAATAACCTATTTTTAAATAGT